TTTCTTTAGTTATTAAAATGAAATATTTTTGCGAGAAATTTTTATTTTAATTTCAAACAATTTAATTATACATTAATCATGGAAAAAATAATTTTGCTGAAAAGTAAGTATTTAAAAAATTAAGTTATAGATTACAGACCTGAAAATAATTTTGTTGAGTCATCAAAACTAATTATATATATAAACTAAAACAAATTATGTATAAACTAATTGTGATTAAAAAGAAATTTAAATCTTTCAAATTCTATGTTATTTTGATGATCTTTTATATTGAAAATTAAGAAAAAACTATTTATAAAATTAAAATTTACACGAAAAGAATGATTTTGTTAAAGATCTACAAATTTAGTTAGAGAGAGATATAGATCTGAAAATAATTTTGGACCAAGATAATTATAATTACGTATGTAGGACGTTCAAATTGGTTACTAAATGTTGTTTACAGTATCTTGAATTTCCTAACATAATTAGTTTTGACGATTCAACAAAATTATTTTCAGGTCTGCAATCTATAACTTAATTTTTTAAATACTTACCTCAGCAAAATTATTTTTCCCATGATTAATGTATAATTAAATTGTTCGAAATTAAAATAAAAAAATTTCTCGCAAAAATATTACATTTTAATTACAATACAATTCAAATTTACTTTAAAACAATAGCTAAGAGGATTATATTAGACTCAACGATGCTCATATTAATCGTGTGAATTCAATAGAAGATGAATCGACAATTCGCATAACCGTTCGAATAATCATTTGCCTCGAGTATCCAATTAAGCAACGGCAACGCGAGTGCATTGCATTATATCAAACAGAAACGGCACGTTTCTAGAGCGCCATGCATTTCGTCATTCATTCTCTACGCCCGAGGTAGCTGATCGAATTAACGTTGGGGTCATTAAAATTTTTTTTCATTACGTTCCTCGAGCTCGCGCACGCGATCGCCGTAAGGCCCAGCTAGCTATGGCGACATGCTCTGCTGATGCCGAAGGGGAAGTATGCTCTGAATGGTCCCTTGTATGTACTCGCGGGAAGTCTCGCTCTGTTCACGATTATAAAAAAAAAAGGGGGGAAGCAGAAGGAGCAGACGACAAAGAACTGTTAGACTGTCGTTGACCGAGCGAGAACGAACCATCCATTAAAATGGAACTGAGAATTTTATCTTGAAGTTCGACAATGGAGTGTCAAAGATACTTATTCTTTTCTACAATATTCGCGCGATATTTACAACGTTGATAAATCTCTGCGATATTTAAAGAATTTTTTTTTTTTTAATTATTTGTCCGTGTCACACAAACATTCCGTTGTCTGCTAACACGAATAATTTTAACGTAATATTTTATTCGTGGCAGACAGAAACTTCCTCCTAGCTCCGCTTATGAACGTGACTTAAATTTGATTCGATTTGACGTGACTCGAGTTTAATTTTAACATGCCGCATTCCAACTTCCGGCAGCTATTACGACATACGAAGAAATATCTACACTCGACTATATTGCAGAGTTAAAACTTTTGCCAGGATTTTCTCTTATTCGCGAACGCGTTCATTCTAAACAAATTAGAAAAATTAATTAACGGAACAGTTAGTAGTCGGGAAGGTAAATCTATAATTTCTTCGTACTTATCGACTAGGGAGATTAATGCGTTTTTAATCCTTCCTAATGTTCTTTATCTTCGTGATCAGGACGAAGAGTCGTGACTTTATCTCAGCCAATCGGAAGACATATTTCCCGTGCCAGGGATAGAAAATTAGGTCGGTTCGGGATCACGTTCTTCAGCGTGTACGCTCTCCTTTTTCTTATCCTATCCCTTTCGTTGATTAAGCTACGCTTGCGGAATAGAAAGCCGATAGAAGGGGAATGTGATGTGCAGAGCCAAAGGCGACTTTCCTCGATTTCGCTTAAACTTAGTTTCAGTTCTCATTCGCCGCGAGGCTTTTCTAAAGGGATTCCTTCACACGTGAGATACACTGCTCCACGTATCCTTTCATTGATTGTCTTCAGTATGAACAATGTATGCTTTCTCGCAGAGATTACCTCTCTTGTTTCTATTCATTGTGTTCATTAAATTTTTCTCATTAATGTCACCGATCGTGATCAGACTTTTGAAATCTGGTTCTAACAGTTTTTTTCGCGGTTTTGTTAGAATTCTATTCATCTCCGTGTATGAATATCCGTAATTAAATCTCGGATGGAAAAAAAAATTATCTTCGTGTTAAAAAATTTGAAAAGACAATTTGATATTCGTGTACAGCTTTAGCAAATGAAATTGCGATAAACTTTACGAAATCGATTTTCAAAGAAATCACATTCTGAGATAATAAAACTAAATATAAAATTTAAAAATAAATATGATATAATATAAATGAAATTAAATGAAATTAGATTTATTATATAAGTGTGTGGATTCAATATTGACGATATCGACATGGATTATAATTATGCATTTTAAATATTAAAACATCAATTTTACAATTAAAAGAGAGAGAGAGAGACACAATGTTCTGCACGTATGCATTTATGATATATTATGTATTTCTCATTGCTTTTATATGGCGTCACGTATTATAAAATGATAAATCACACTTCTGTTCTTACACATCCATTACTTCTGACATTTTCATATAAACGACAGCTGTTAATTTATCATACACTCTGCTATCGTAATCAGACGCGAGGAATCATCTGGATCGCTGCAGCACTTTGTTGATGTCGGATATTCCATAATTACTGAGACCACGTTCTTCATTTCTCAGACTTAACAAAGGGCTCTTCCTCGCGCGGCTTCATCTCCGTTCTCTTGCGCGGCCGGTGCGTATCGGTGAAATCCGGTCTAAATCGAGTTTTCAGAAAAATGTTCAAGGTAGGAATAACAAATGGCTCTTTGCTCTCTCGCAGCGGAGCGAGGTCGAGGGGTAGCGTTCAGAAATAATCTCGAGAGAAGGGAGAACTGGACAAACCATCTGTAACCTGCCACGCGCGAGATTGTGGATGGCACAGCCCGGGGGCGTACCATAAATTATAGTTACCCTCTGCTGTCCATAGTAAATCGTTTGCCGTCCCGCAGATCCTTCTCCGCCTTTTACACGTTCTATAAAATTGTCTCTACTTAAACTATCTGGCCTTGTAGCGAAACTAGAAAGTCTGGTTGAACGTTGATAATTTTTCACCTGCGCTTAGCTACTGAAAGAATTTTTATTGTTTCATAACCTGTTTTTTTATAAATTGTTTAATTAAAATTGATCATTTTTACTTGACATAGAATTTAATAACTTTTAATAAACGATCTCAAAGTAAAAATTGTAAGTATATAAAAATTTATACTTTATAGTTGTATCTTCATGAACAGCGAAATTTTATCGTAGCTTTATTTCTTATAATATATTGTATTTAATATAGTATATTTAATACGTGAATTATACAATAATTAATTTATATCCATATTACATATTTATTATCTGATATTGCAATTTAAGTATTTAATTCTACATTACTTGCGTGATGTTTTAAAATATGATTACTTATATAGCGTGTTTTTGACATCTCAGTTTATCTCAATTTTCAACTCAGTCTCTTTAGCTATTTACAATTAAATAAAGATTGATAATATTCTGTATAGGTATCTTTTAGATAAAGATAAATGCAAAAATTGTTTTTAAATTGTAAAATAATTTTTACAAAACAATATAAATAGCATTCATACATGTGTTTAGTGAATTTATAAGGTGGGAACATGTTTCTGAACATTCTACGTGAGTAATGAAAGGTTAAAAGTATATTTATAGTTTTTATTTAGCAAATTGTCCAATTGTTGTAATCCAACTTCTTAAGCCCGAAATTAACAAGGACATTTTTTGTCTGAAATATTTATGTGTGGATTTATTTGTGAATTTTATAAAAAAGAGAATCAGGCTTTGACTTTAGATGAGAGAGATTAGCTCTTTTATATTTTTGGGATAAGAATGTTTTTACCGAACTAGGTTCGCGTTGAGGTATTATTCAACCAATCGTGGCCCGCCACGACATTCCAATGGAACATTGCCAGAAATCTTTCTACTATGAGTACGATTGCCTGCGGTCACGGTGAATAGTTCACCACCGCACGAAAAATTGGCAACGCCATTTTCGCCATTATCTTTCATCTCTAACGATCTCGGAGAGACTAGAAAAACTGAATCAAACCTACTTGTAATAAGAAAAATATTTCTCTTCCTTAAATTGCGAATGATGGACGAGACAGTGTTTGAACGTTAGAGAAAGTTAATAAGATATATTACTATTATCTATTTAAATTATTATAAATTATAAATAGTGTTTTGATTTTATTACAAAATTAATTGAAAGATAATTCATCTCTTTAAGCTAGAGATGTCTCCATTTGTCGATTTATTAAATCATATAAAATCAATGTAAAATAATTATATGATAGACAGGATAATTTCGTAAATATTTAATTCTTATAGACATCAGAAAGTTTTAATTAGTAATTATCAATTTTTTGTTCTTGATTTGAAATTTATAACTTATATTAATATTGATACGTACAATAAATTAAGTAATATATTAATAAATAATGATAAGAAAAATAACCAAGTTATAATCATAAATTAATTAAGTCATTATTCTTAATAGTCTTGTAAGTAAAAACGAATTTGTATGAAATCCTAAACTTTTTTGAACCATTACCTTTTGAGTCACGTTTACACATTGAAAAAGATGATATATCAATAACATTATTTTAATTGATAATAATTTTATTTATTCATAACTATTAATGAAACAAATAAAATGTTATCAAAACCAGAGCACGTATTTGTTTCATTAGTGGTGTTATTAATTTAATACAATTATTTTCAATCCAAATAATATTGTTGATATAACATTTTTTTTCAGTGCATTTATTGATAATTAAAATAACCCTTTAATTTATCCTTGCCCTTAATCTTACGTTGCTTCGATTGAGCATTGAAACTCACAAGAAATTATTTTTTTTTTTCAGCATATGGTGCAGACAGGGATGGCTGCGCCCTATGGTGGGGGTGTCTTCCCTCCTCCGGTAAACGGGGTCGCGGGTGTCGTGGGGGCGGCCGGTGCAGCCGGTGACGTTAAGCCACCACCACCAGTGACGGTGAAGGAGGAGAATGCCGGTGCGCCCCAGCAACCACCCCCGACCGGCGGGCCCCAGGTGCCGCCTGCGGCGGGGAACGGGGTCGATCAACAGGCCATCGTAAGTTTCTAACTCTTAATTAACATGACTGTATCAAATTGATCGATAAGCACATCGATTATCACTCTTACTACAAAAAATTATGTAATGACAATGATTAAGAAAGGAGCAGTTCTCTTTACGTAAAATGTCGCAGGCATCGAAATTAATTATTAATTACTATAATAAATCAAATTAATTTAGATTAATTTTTAAAAGTTTAAATTTAAATAATCTCTAAAATTATATGCGTTTTTAAATACAATACATTTGTTCAGCATTTATAAATGGTAAAGTATGAAAAATTAACATTGATATGGAGCCTTTTTATCCTCCATGTACAATTCTGAATATTATATATTACGAGCATTTTTTATAAGAGAATTTTCTTAGGACCGCGATGTCCGGTCTCTTTTTGTGAACAAAGATAAAAATATTGTAAAACGAAAAAAAGATTAAGGCGATGCGTTATTGGCTATTTAAGTTAGCACGGTGCACCAAAACCGCAAGCGCAGGAGCCCGTTAAAGTAACTAATCCTTTCGAATGTTCTTGACGTTCGTGACAACGCGAAATTGTACGTTACATTCCTACGAAGTAGCCCCTGGCGAGCCACGTGGAGCACTTTCAAGATTCTAGTGTACATTCCGTTAGCGGAGAACCAAACTTCTTGAACCGCGCACGTCTCCCTTCTTACCTCTTTCCCAAGGCGCGGCCGTCATCCCGTCACGTAGTTGTGGTCGCAGTCAATGATTCTGGACACGTATGAATGAAGAAGAGACGTCGTTGCCTCCGATGCGACGACGAGTGAATTCTACGAAGGAGGGCCCCTTGTAATTCATAGCAAAGTGCACGGTAGACGGAAAGAGTTACTTACAGATTGAATAAAAGAATTTCCTCTCTTGACAAGGCGTCATGCGTCTTGTTTGCAATATAATATGTTTCATTCATGAAAACATAGTGAGTGAAAAAACGATTATTAACGTTTATAGTAAGGTGGATATAGTAAGGAAAAAAAATATTTGGATATATGGATATATAATCATAATAATAGAAAATTTAAGAGAAAGATTACTTAAAATTAAGTACGTAATGGTTAATCACATTTTATATTTAAAGAAGACCCTGTTTTAAAGAATCTGTTTAAATCAACTTTCGTTAACATAATTCTATAAATTCAGGAACGACAGTTGATAAGATTTATTACGTAATCGAATTAATGAAGTTTATTAAATCCGGATTACATGTTTTCAAATAGATTAATTCCTGAAATAGTAATGTCATCATGCTTGTCATAAAGCTATATTGCGCTTTAAATTTAATTTCTCAGCGAATGTAATCGAAGATTGATAATTGGATACAGTAATGTCTTATCTTGCTTAAGACTCCTAATGATCTACCTTTTGCTTGACCCACAATTTACGAGCAATTGCAATTCTGTTTATTGCATTATTCACCGGATGATTGTCGGAGCATGTCGAGTAACTTTTTTCTAGAAATTATTAATTACACTTTCTTGCATCACTCTACATTCAATTCTGTGTTTACAACATACCGTCACGCGACTGATATCTAAAACGAAGGAATCGTTTGAAAACGTACAGATTTGTATTCATCACTCGTTCTTCGAATTCTCAAAGGAGACATTTTTGTCGATCATGCTTGATCCTGACCTCTAAATTTATACGAATCTATCGTCCATATATAGCATTAACTTTATAAATCTGTTCCATATTTCAGGGAAAATAATTAATATTTCATATTTAAATCAGTTATGACTAAAAATTTACTTGAAAATCCACGAAAAATATAAATAATTTCATTTATTGATTTTCACATTTTGGTTCTTAAATAATCTTTTCAGGTCATATCTTTTTATCTCTCTCTTCTCTCATTCGCGCAATATATTTCGTAATCAATATCTTACAGGATTCTACAAATATCTACCATCATCTTTCTCAAAATGTCGCTAATATTCATGCATCTGTTTTTAGAGACCTTTTAGTAATCTGTTTTTAGAATTCTTTTCGTGACACAATCGATCCGACCATGCTTGTGTAATAAGAGTTAAACGGTTCATCGGTAATTGCATTTTAATAGTCGAACATGGCGGATAGACTCGATTCCCCTTTGTTCGAAATAGGTCCACGGGGAGGACACGTCGTTCGTGTGATAGATACGTGATTACGAGATATAATCCGGTGCCATTAATTCCCTTGAAATTCATACGCCGCATCGACGGTGCGTGGAAACTCGAGGTTACAATGCGTTCTCGCCGTCGACCGACTCTCCAATTCATTACCGTCGGAGACGCCGCAGCCAGGTTTCCTCACCTGATTTACGACCACCGGTTAGAACGCGGCACCACGAGGATAACGACAATCGCGCTTTAATGCTAAATAAATATCGGGGAAAGGTCGGGTCTCCGGCGACAACGATAATTGATTTCATGCTCGGTCGCGGCTCAAAATGCAAAACACTTTTGTATCGACATGATAACGCGCGCGCGCGCGCGCGCAACGAATGCAGGAAAAGTAATGTTTAAATTCGCTCTAATTCATCGCGTTAGTACAGATCACGTTGTTTTCTTGATTTCACTCGCGTATATTTTAATTCCGATTTCACGGCGTGCGGCTTTCGTTCATTTCCCATTTCATTTGAAATCGAGAACGTGATACGTTTCTGAGTATCGAGAGAAATACATCATCATTCGCGGGGAGTGGATTAAAGCTTGATATTTATAACGGTTAAATAATCTCCAGTCTCGAGTTACCTATCTACTCTACAATTATTCGTATGACATTAATGCTTCGCTTCGTATTCACAATGATCCGTGCTATCTGCAATAGCGATACATCTGGGATATGCCGTGTAAATTGGACTGGAATTGCTCCAGCGTTAAACCCGTCTCGTAGTAAAATTCGTCAAATGATTTCCATTATATCTACATATATATCAGCGCAAAGCTGAAAATACCGCACCTGAAAAAAATTACACTTTTCTCTTTTTGTCACGAACGGGGTATTGTGTCCGCGCCAAATTGAGAGGGAAAAATCGGTAAATCGGTTCACTGAAAAAAAATGAAGGGGGGGAAAAAAAGGAAGTAATATTCGACGTCGATTGCGTTATCAGAAAATCTTTATTTCATCGCAGAGACGTTACGTCCATTTTACGATCGCGCAATACAAACTCGAATGCAATATTGCTCCGTTAAGGTTAAGGACGAAACCGTCCGCCGTCATCCCTTCTCCCAGAGAAGTAAATTTAAGTTGTTTGCATTCGATTAAACGCCGAGTAAGATTGATAACGATCTCGCGCGCTTAGTTTGATGGCGAACGAACAATTCACGAACAATGTCACGCTGGTTCCGGTCGTGGCTGCTTTGTGCCGCGGTAAATACGTCTGGTCAATTAACCGGGCCTGGTTAGTCATCGGGTCGAAAAGCATACGTCGCTCGCACAGCTTCACGTCGTTCGGCCGCAGCTTCATGCACGCGAGATCACCTGGGACACGAGATTCCGCCATGCATTTCCTCCTCTTTCTCCTCCTCTTCCACGCAACTACCATCACCAACTACCGTCCACCACGTCCTCTGCTTCCTTCCATAGTTTCATTCCGAACGGATGGCAGCGCATTCGTGTTGTTCGCCCCGATGCGACAACACGTATATTATATTGCGCGGAATTACGGAACGTTATGCTCGAGTCATGCACACACGGACATGCATGCACCGATCTTGCGGACAATTTGCCGTACATAAATTTTTGCCTCGAATAAATCACGGCTGTGATTTATGCAGGAAATAGATGCGCGATCCTGAAATTGCGATTACTTCGACAAAATAAATTACAGAATTTAAAAGTTTTTCGTTCGTTAATTAGGAATTATATTTAATTTCGCGTTCCAAGGATTTAATATTTGATGAGATAATATGGAATCGGAAAATAAATTTAATTTTGTGATAATATCCCATGTAATGTTGCGACAGTGGCAATTTTATTAATGATAATTTATGACTTATATTACATATGTATATTTTTAGTATACTAGGCTTGCAAAACGACATATAAATGAATAATTTTTTGAAATGAATTTTCTACCTTATTATCTCAATTCTCTTTAATATTACATGACATAATCCGGGAGTCGCTAACAATAGAACATTGCACATAGTATAATGCACGTAGTATCCATATATTCCATGTACTGAGCACACGATGCGTGTGTATCCCTAGTTATCTAGCGGCAAACAGACGCGCAGTCGTGTATATTCGAGTTTCCCAGTATTAGCCGAAATTCCGTAGTCCCCTTTCAAGTTAACTCGCTTGAGATGGTACTAGTTTTAACAATATGCCGTCTGAATAGTTCTGTGCGAAAATTGCTATATATAGATGTACTATATGAAATAATCTGGTTTATTTTGTATCATTATCTATTCCGAGCTAGCGGAATTATTTAAGCACAAACAGAAAGGATTCCAGTTGCGAGGAATAATTATTTAAAATTTATGATATTTCGCAAAATGAACTGAGAAGTTGATTATTCTTGACTTTGCGTGAGAATATCTTGTACATCGAGGGAGAAAAATTACAATTGTAATAATTTAACTAGAATTTGTAATCATTTTTCAGGATAACTATATATTTATAATTGTTTTAATCACGCAAACAATGTACGTTAATTGAACTATTAATAATAGTCATACACTTTGTTTGAAAATTTGTAGTCTTTCCTTAATATATTTTTTAGTTTTATTATTATCACATAAATAATAGTGATTTTAAGAAATAGTTATATTCACTATAATTGTGATTGCATTTATTAAATAAAAATGTTAATTTCATTTATCATCTGTATCTTGATATTTTACCATATTAATATGTGAAATTATTATAATTTATAGTACAATTTTTTCATGTTTGAGAGAACTGTACTACATTTAGATATGATTGTTATTACTAACATTGTTGCAGTAAGAACCATAAAAATGGAACTCCTAATTAATTTCATTACACATACAATT